GGCGGATCACAATGTCAGGAGATCGAGACCATCCTGGCTAACACAGTGAAACCCCGTCTCTACTAAATAATACAAAAAAATAGCCGGGCGAGGTGGCGGGCGCCTGTAGTCCCAGCTACTCAGGAGGCTGAGGCAGGAGAATGGCACAAACCTGGGAGGCGGAGCTTGCAGTGAGCTGAGATCCGGCCACTGCACTCCAGCCTGGGCGACAGCGCGAGACTCTGTCTCAAAAAAAAAATCCATCTGAAAAGTGGTCTCAATACCCTGGGTCTTGGTTCTTGACCCCTGGGGCTGGTGTTCTTACTTGTGGCATGGAGTTCTCAGCATGTGCCTATTCCTCAGGCTGATAGCTAGTTTTGGGTGGGGAATGCAGTTTGAGAAGGTACTAGTCAGGAGGGAGGGGGTGTAGGAGGAGAGTTCATATTTAAAATTCCTTCTCTTGAGGAATTCGATTTCAAAAAGCCCAGAGTTCTGCTATATATTGGCAGAATACAATTAGTCAGCTGGTCTAATGTTGGGTCAGGATTGCCATTTTAACAGAACACCGTTCTCCAAAGACAGCCTTTAGCATTCTTTGACAAATATGTTTAAAGAAATCATTTTCATCTTGATTTTTTTTTTGTTAGTTAACATGCAGTGAAAACTTAAGTCTTGATTTACATCTGTAGATTCTACTAAAAATTCAATCTGTTACCCACATCTGATCACATCTCTCTAAGAGGTTCTTTGTCCTGGTTGCACATTGAATCACCTGGGGAATTTAAAAAATTTCCAATGTCCTGGCCACACCTCAGAGCAATTAAATCAGACCCTCTGGGAATGGGACCCAAGCATCAGTACTTTTTCTTTATTTATTGTTAATTTTTGTAGAGATGGGCTCTTGCTATGTTGCCCAGGCTGATCTCAAACTCCTGACCTCAAGTGATCCTCCTGCCTCAGCCTCCCAAAGTGCTGGGATTACAAGCTTGAGCCACCAAACCCAGCTGGCATCAGTACTTTTTAAAACTTTCTGATGATTTGGTTCTGGAGTCCGAGTTGAGAACCACTGCCTAAAAGTTGCTACCTGAAGGCAATAATTTGCCTGAATGCTACACTCTAAGCTTTGTGAGGGCAGAAACTGGTTTGGTTTACTCTCACTCATCCTCAATGCCTGCAATACGCCCTGACCCATAGTTGGAGTTTAATGAATATTTATTCATGAAATGAATTAATGCTTATTCAGAATTTCATTAAGATGTAGATAAAAAAATGCTCTGCCTTTTGCCTGGGAGTGATGTTGGAAATCCTTAATCACTGATATGGCCATGACACTTGATCAGAGTGTTAGAGGCCTCTATGTGCCCTGAATCCTTAAATTATAGGATCATGGGAGGTTTAGTGTCCTGGTGGAGGGGCCTCATTGGCCAGGACTGTAGGGACACTTTGGGGAGATCAGCACAATAGCTATTTACCAACTGGAATGAAAGCATTTTAATATTTTAACAATAGGTCCAGCTGTACACAGCGGTGGGAGAGCAGGCCACCATGGTTTACGTTTTGATCCTTCTGCTGTTAACAGGGGATTTCCTAGTCTGAAGGCTATATGCGTTATAGCTATATGTGTTCTGTTGCTGTCTTACCTCTCAGACTTCACCTTATATCACTCCCCAGACCCTCTTCTCAGCAACACTGGCCTTCTCTGTGTTTCTTCAACACGGCCAATCTCCTTGCCTTAGGGCCTTTCCTCTTGCTATTCAGTCTGCTGGATTATTTGCCCAATGGGAGGAGCTGCAAAGTCATGTTACAAAGGGCATAGATTCAGAGAAGGGATGGCAGTCGCCATTTCTGTACTCTACCACGTGGCCCCTTCATGTAAATGCTCAGCATCTCAGATTGCTTCTTCATACCTCTTTTCTTCTCCAAAATGCTACCTGGGTATAATAAAGAAAAAATGTCACTTGTGTGGCATTATAGTCTGAGAGAGAAAAAGGTGTCCCTTCAGTTGTTGCAGTTTCTCTTGGATCTTCTTTGGTCTTAGCTAGAGAGTGCTTGGTCCCAGCTGCCACTTGCAGTTGAGCTTCAGGCTCCATCCCTGGATGTTCTGCTCATGTTTGGTGCTGATAGTTATGACAGTTGAAACTTGGAATAGTTATTTTTGTCTTGACTGGGTCTAGATAACTGGGACTCATATCCTTCTCCTTGGCATTGCAGACTCTAGAGGCTTTTGCATTTAGGTTTATAATTCAGCTAATATTAATACTTTTCCAACTACTTATTCAGAGGTACCAGCATTGAATTACCTTAACTTCCTCATTCAAAATCAATTGAATATAATAAATGTGTGGTCTATTTCTGGACTCTTTAATCTGTTCCATTAATCTATTTCTCTATCTACCAATACCACACTGTCTTGATTACTGTACCTTTATAATAAGTTTTGAAATCAGGAAGGATGAGGTTCTAACATTATTCTTTTTACTGCTTTTACTTAGGTCTTCTTTAATTTCTGTCAGCAATGTTTTATAGCTTTTGGTATATATGTCTTTGCTGAATTTATTCCATACACATATATTTAATTATATATAGATGCACATATCACATTTTAGTGCTACTACAAGTGCCAGATTTTGTGGCTAAATATATGTAACACAAGATTTATCATTTTCACCATTTTAAATGTACAGTTCAGAGGAATTAAGTGCATTTACATTTTTGTGCAACCCTCACCCACAGCCCATCTCCAGAACGTTTTTCTCCTAAGCTGAAACTGTACCACGAAACACAAACTTCCCAATTCTTCAACCCGGGCAACTACCATTTTACTTTCTTTCTCTATGATTTTGACTATTATAAGACCTCATATAAGAGGAATCATACAGCATTTGTTCTTTTGTGGATGGCATATTCTACTTAGCATGGTGTCTTTAAGGTTCATCCATGTTATAGAATGTGTCTGAATTTCTTTTTTTTTTCTTTTTTTCTTTTTTTGTTTTTGAGACAGAGTCTCGCTCTGTTGCCCAGGCTGGAGTGCAGTGGCACGATCTCGGCTCACTGCAAACTCTGTCTCCTGGGTTCAGGCAATTATCCTACCTCAGCCTCCTGAGTAGCTGGGATCACAGGCACCCGCCACCACCCCTAGCTAATTTTTGCATTTTTAGTAGAGACGGGGTTTCACCATGTTGGCCAGGCTAGTCTTGAACTCCTGACCTCAGAAATCTGCCTGCCTTGGCCTCCCAAAGTGTTGGGATTATGGGCATGAGCCACTGCGCCCAGCCAGGATTTCTTCTTTTTTAAGGCTGAATAATATTCCATTGTATGCATATACCCTATTTTGTTTATCCTTTCATCTATTGATGGATGCAACAATATTGAATTACCATCTATTGATGGAAGCAACATGGATTGCTTCTGCCTTTTGGCTATTGTGAATAATGCTTCTATGAACACAAATGTACAAATATATGCTCGAGTCCTTGCTTTCGATTCTTTCAGATATATACTTTAAATGTGTGTGTGTGTGTGTGTGTGTGTGTGTGTCTGTGGTGGGGGAAGGACTGTCATAATCCAGTTGGCTGGGGTCCTGGATAGAACAAAAACAGAGAAAAGACAAATTGGTCTTTGTCCTCCTGGAGCTAGGATATACTCTTCTCTTGCATTTGGACATCAGAGCTCCAGGCTATCCAGCTTTTGGATTGCAGTATTTACACCAGTGACGCCCCAGGTTCTCAGACTTTTAGGCCTGGACTGAGCCATACTAATGGCATCCCCTTGTGGATAGCCTGTTATGGGACTTCCCAGTCTTCAAAATTGTGTGTGCCAATTCTCCTAATAACCCCCTATCTATCTATCTATCTATCTATCTATCTATCTATCTATCTATCTTTCTTTCTTTCTTTCTTTCTTTCTTTCTTTCTTTCTTTCTATGTATCTATCTATCTATCATCTATCTATCTATCTATCTATCTATCTATCTATCTATCTATCTATCTTCTATCTGTCTATCTATCTATCCATCTACCTATTTATCTGTCCATTCTATTGGTTGTGTCTCTCTGGAGAACCTTGACTAATTCAAACTTCAGTTTGCATCCCTGTAGCAGCTACTCTCTATTAGATATCATTGGGTCTTTCCCCAAACGTGTGCAGCCTAGCCTTCAACCAATAACCCAAGGAAGACCCACACGAACTTTCCCCCACCTACTTCACAACCAGGCAACTTTTTATTCTCTCTGATGCCCTTTGTTCTCTCTGATGCTCTCAGCTCACATTTCATCTCCTTGCATTGTGGTCACAAAAATGCTGCCAAGCCAAGAGCCAGGGTGAGTATGGGTCAAAGCTTACAAACTTTAGGTGTTTCCTTTTGCCAAGGAATATATACATATATATATAATATTATAATATATATAACATAAATATATATATGTGTCAAGGACCCATATTTTTGTTATCTTTTCCTTCTGCCATTTTCCTATGTGTTATGTTTTCAACCTTAGTTTGTTGTCTCGTGGTTGCAAGATGGTTGCCACTGCTCCAGACGTCACATCCTCACATAGGTGTTTTCTAGGTAGTAAGAAGGAATAGGTCTGTTTTCCATTTATGATTTTATCAGGGGGGAAAACCATGCTCAAAATCCTTCCAGAAAACTTCACTTAATGTTTCTTTAGCCAGAAATGAGACTCTCCCAAATCAATCACTAGTAAAGGGCAATGGAGTCTTCCTTCCTTCCTTCCTTCCTTCCTTCCTTCCTTCCTTCCTTCCTTCCTTCCTTCCTTCCTTTCTTTCTTTCCTTCTTTCTTTCCTTCTTTCTTGCCTGCCTGCCATGGTGTCACCCTGTCCCTAGGCAGAAGGGCAGTGGTGTGATCATAGCTCACTGCAACCTCAAACTCCTAGGGTCAAGCGATCCTCCCACCTCAGCTTCCCTAGTAGCTAAGACTACAGGTATACACCACCACACCTAACTAATATTTTTTGAATTCTTTGTAGAGACAGAGTCTCACTGTGCTGCCCAGGCTGATCTTGAACTTCTGGCCTCAAGCAATCCTCCTGCCTCAGCCTTCCAAAGAGCTGGCATTACAGGCATAAACCACTGTGCCTGCCCTGGCTGGGCAATGGATTTTGTAGGCCAATAATGATTCAACTTTTGAGGTAAGGTGAAAGGCCCTTATCTTTCTGAGGTAAGATGCCTTTAAAGTAAGGTGAATTTTGTTGTTCATTTTGCTATCTGAACAAGATTAAGATTTTATAAACTAATAAAGAAGAAAAAATGGTTGTCGAAATAGCAACCAACAGTGGTTGAATAGTAAGGCTTCTCAACCCAGATTTGGAAATTTCTGAAGCTCATATTACAAATAAATTAATAGAATAGCATGTTACCTTTGACATCTTATTTCACCTATCCATCCTGCTCATGGCAGCCAAACTTATCTTCCTGACATACAGATTTGATCATGCTAGAACTTTGCTCAAAAACTTTGCTGGCTGCCTATTGCTACAAAACAATCTCCAAAGCATGGCATGCAGTACCTTTGGGATCTGACTCCATGTTAACTTTTTAGTATTATCTTTTAGTGTAATCCCTCTCTGTCCTTGTCATGCAACATTTGCCCTTCCTCTGACATGCTGTGCATTCCTGTGTCTGTTATTGCTGGCAATGCCTTTGCTCTCCTTATTTATTCCTCAATCCACCATTCTTTGGAGACCCAGCTGAAATGCCACCTCTTCCATGATGCCATTCACAATATTTCCAATTGCAACTGATCTCTATTATCTCTGTGCTTCTTTTGTACCTACCATGCTCCGTTGTAGGATATGTAGTGGCAAATGTGTTTAGATTCTGTTTTACTCAATTGTGTATCCTTACATTGCCTTCTAGAGGGATGGCAGATACATAGCACAGAAGCTACAAATCCCCATTTGTGAGCCCATGGAAGATATTACTATATGATTACAATATGATTTTCCACTAAGCCTAAATGTACGTCGAGGCATCTCAGGACATTATTAATTTATTAACAACTGCTTCTGGTAGTTATTACTAGTGGATTACATGAAACCCACATTCTATCTCTAGCTACATTTATGGCCTTGTTCATAATCAAAGCTTAATGCTTTGGTTAGTTGAAGTGAATTTCACTACATAGATTCCACGATTGGTTCCCACCAATGACTACATTTATTTGGGAGATGGTGGAAACCTAGAGGATTATAATGCTATAGCATTACAGCATGTGGCAGAGCAAACCACATGGAAGAAATGTGCTAGTAAGAGAAATAAGTTCTTGCCAAAGGGAAGCCAGACTGTCAGACCTTTTTATTTTTTTTTCTTAAGAAACCCACCAGGAAACCTTGTTATTTTCTTGGTTTAAAATCCAAGAATTAGATAAAACTATACATCAACTTTGTAGGCTATGTTCTGGGAATCTCATGGGTCAAGGGAAGGAGTGAGGGTGTTTCTGAATGTCACAATCCATTTTGTTATTATGGGCAAACTTTTATCAGACATGGCTGCAAGATCCCCCCTCGGGAACAGCAGGTATCTACAACAAATAAGATTTTTTAAACCATACAGTCATGTCTAATGTTCAGAAGTCAGTTTGGGAAACGGCAGAATAAGCAGGGCTTCTTTTTTTTTTTTTTTTAAGATTAGGTCAGTTTTGAATGTTTATCTATTTTTTTGAAACTATTTAAGGCTGCACTGTCCAATATAGTAGCTGTTAGTCACATGCAGGTAAATTTAAATGAATTAAAATTAAATCAAATTTAAAATTTAGTTCCTCAGTCACAGGAGGCACATTTCAAGTGCTCAACTCCACATGTGGTTAGCAGCTACTGTATTGGACAGAGCGGATACTGAACATTTCCATGATCACAGAAAGGTCTACTGGGCAGCGCTGTTCTAATGTCTCCCATAAAAGTATTGAACTCCTGTCAAATGTAGGTTAGGGTTTTTGCAGAAGTTTTAGCTTCTATGCACCAATTAAATTCTTCAGTATTACCATTAATTATATTATGTAACTTTAAATAAAAGTTATACCCAAATCAATGCTTTTCTCTTTAGAGGTCTTTCTGTTTATTGTCTCATTCGAGACAAATATCAAGAAAGTATTTACAGTTAGAAGCCTGTGTGGTAAGCAAGATTCTGTTATTTATTTTCTGTTGTTTCTTTATGGTGGTTAATGTCTTCCCTGATCCATAGAGTTGCTTTTTGCAACCCTCTGCATTCTAAGTTGGCTATGTACTGTTTGGTTGTGTGGATGTAAATTGCCTAGCATTTTGCCTTACTAAGGAAGATATAGAGAATTCAATCATTAAAGAAAAGGACTATTGGGAAATAATGTGCCATAAGGCTCCTAACTATTCTGGAATACTTTTATTCTTACTTCTGTCTCTTAAATAAAAACTACTGTCTATAGAGAGATGCATTAAAAATAGGCCACATACAATATGGTTAACACTTCCACATTAGTTTTAAAAGGAGTTCATTTGAAATGAGTTAATCTAGGTTATGGTGGTTATTCAAAATAGAGTTCATTCTTTGTTACAATTCAAAGCCATATGTTTACTTCATTTATTCCTGTAAAGATAAGACAATTTTTTTACTTACGTAAGGTCAAATATGAATATAAAGAAATAAATGTGTTGGGGCTTAGGAGTCAAAATCTCGTCTTTCTTTCTACCCCTATGGTTCTACAGATTATTAGCTTTCCTTGTAATTTCCTATTAAGGTACCTCTTTGAATAAAGTCTAGATGGGCTACTTAGTATTCATATATTCTCTTTATCCACATGACACTGAGTCTCAAAACTTGGTATATATTTGTAACAAATGAACCAAAATCTTCCCTTTTCAGCTGTATCATTGTCATGGCAAGTCCTTTTCAGAGACAGCTGTATTGAGGTGGTAAATCCCATGGCTGAGTTTGAATCCAAGTTCCATCACTCCCGGTTGCATGGAACATAAAAGTTACTTGATGTTGTGTACTTCACTTCATCTCAAAGACGAGCTTGATTTCCAAACCTCCATCATCATAATAAACAGTGATATTATTTTTCAGTTGGGTTCCAAGTCTAAAATTCATTTTTCTTTCTGACTTAAACTTGTAAAATTTAAATGCAGTTTATATACAGTGAAACAGATCTTAAGTATACAGTCTGATGAATTTTGACACATGCATACATTGTGTAACCCACTATCAAGATATAGGAGATTTCTATTGCACCAGTAAGTTCCTTTCACCCTTTCCCAACCAGTTCCCAAAACATCCACATGAGGCAATCACTATTTTGATTTTATGACTATAGCTTACTTTTATCTGTTGTGGGATTTCATGTAAATGGAATCATACAGCATGTATTCTTTTGTATAAGACTTTTCCCATTTTCTACTAATTTTTTTTTTGTTTTACTTTCTACTAGAATGTTCCTTCCATTTACATTTTATGTAGAATACCTGTCTTTAACACATTGAAAAATCATGGGTAGAAAGGTTAATTTTAAAATCTAAAAGAATGGCTTGGTGTTTAGGAAATGGCTTTATAATTCCTAGCTACATGACCATGTGAATTTCGGCAAGTTACTTAAACTCTCGGAACCACACATCACTTTAAAGTGATTGTCATATTTACCTCACAAGTATTTTTTATTAGGATGAAATAAAATCATGTATGTGAAGTAACCCCACTTGTAGGCACTAAAACATTGTTAATTCCCTCCTCTTTTAGGCCAATAAATACTATAGTAGTAACCAACCTGTCGTTTGTCCATTTGTGACTGAGCACGTATCCTTCAATTACAAAGAACATATTACTGTTGGTGCTTAGCAGGCTCAAGTCAAGGTTTTTCTCTTATACAATTAGAGTTTATATTTATTGACCCTTTATTTCTGTATAGCTCACTTAATCTTCATTGCATCTCCTGTGAAAAATAGCTGGCATTATCTTTATTTTACAGATAAGGAAACCAAAACTCAATGTGGCTAGCTTGTCCAGAATCTCCCAAAGAGTTGGTAAATGATGAAGCCAGACTCTGGCACCAAAGCTTGCACTTTTAATGAGGCAATGATGAATCAATCCCCTGAGGTAGAGACAAGGGTGACCAAAGACCCTCAAGTTTGCTGCCACTGCTCTGCACCCAGGAGAATTTCCAGTACAACTTGGGCAACCAGGAACAGGCTGGACAGATGTATGCATTCTCCAAAGCTCTCTGTATGTTTTCTGTTGCCTGCTCAGGTAGTGCTTGGCTGTGAATTGACTATGGTCCAATGGCTCCTTTGTTGTTCACTTACTTATGAGAAGGTGTGTGCTGTTTTGGCCATTTATATATGCCAGAGACTATTCTGAGCACTGGAAGTATAGCAATATGCAAAATAGACCAAAAAATTCTGGCTCAAATGGAAGTTACATCCTAGATGGGGAAGATGGACAATAAGTGAATGAACAAACAGGTCTGTTTACTTATTTAATGTTGGGGACAATAAGTACTTTGGAGAAAAATAATATAGGGAAGAGGAACCTGCAGTGACAGAACATGGTCTTTATTCTTCTAAATTGGGTGGTGAGGGAAGGCCTTAATTAATTTGGGGAATTGATAAGGTAAAGGAGGTGAGGAATGAGCCACACAGATGTGGAGCAGATTGGGAGAGGGTGTGTTCCTGGCGGAGAGAAGAGCAAGTCCAAAAGCACTACATCAGGAGGCATCTTATAGGAATAGTCAGGAAGCCAGCGACCCTAGTGCACAGTGAGCCGGGGGAGAAGAGTAAGTGGGGTGTGATAGGGGCCAATCATGGAGGGCCTTATTTGACATTTAAAACAATTTGGCTTTTATTATAAGTGTGATGCAAAGCCATTAAAGAATTCTGAGCAGAGAAAGCATATAATTTGGCTCAAATTTTTAAAGGATCGTTCTGGCTTCGGGGTTGAGAGCGGACCATAGGAAGGCAAGGCTGGAAGCAAGGAGACCAGGTAGGAGGCTGGTGCAGTAACATAGGCAAAAGATCGTGTTGGCTTAGACCAGATTAGTAGTAGAAGAGGTCATGGGAGGTGGTTGGATTCTAGATATGACTTGAGGCTCGAGCCAATAGGATTTGTTGACAGACGGGTTGTGGTTTGTGAAAGAGTGACCAAGATGTCGGGGCTTTTGTCCTGAGTCAGTGAAAGGATGGAATCACTATCAACTAAGATGGGGAAGGCAGGGAGAGGAACAGGTCTGGGGAGGAACAACAGGATCCATTTTTGGACAAGTTGATATGAGATGCCTGTTAGACATTAAGTGGAGATGTTGGGTAGGTGGATGAATATATGAGTCTAGTGTTTGGGACAAAGTCTGGGCTGAAGATGCAAATTTGGGGAATTGTTGGAAAAGAGAGATTCAAAGCTAAAGGCTAGATAAGCATACCTAGAGTGGGGGTGTGTCAGCGGAAAAGGGAAGTCCAGTTAGAGTCTCTTTGGAACTGATAAAATGTAAGTTAAAATAAAAACCATCACTCAGGTTTTCACAAAAGTTATTGGAGAGCTTTTATTCTTACTACCATTTAGTATTTTCATTATATTTCTAGCTTATTACTCACTCACTCTTTTCCTTACTAAACAGGTTCTTATTATTTTGTCTTTAGGATGAAAACCAGTCCTGCAGGCCACTTGTTCCAGATCTCTCACAGATTAATGGGCACTGAAGTTATAGTTGATCTCTTTTTGAAAGTACTCTCCACTCTTCAACTCTTTGTAAGTTAAGAGGAAGTCAGGGAGGCCCAAAAACAAATATTTTCTTTGGACTCTAGGGCTTTATCAATGTGAGGAACAGAGTTTTAGTTCAAAAAACGTCTGCTCTCTTGTGAAAAGTAAAGAGAAGAAATATTTTGACTGTTTTGTTTTAATCTGTGACCTTGAGAACTGCCTTCATTTTATAACTGGAGAAGCAAAATCCTATTTTGTTGAAAAGGACAGAAATTATCCTCCTACTATCCTAGATGCAATCACATAATTTTCAGGTTGTTTCAAAAAGTCAGCTTAAGAGTCATATAAAGATGAAATGAGAGATAAAATACCCAGAAATGTTTTGTTCCAGTTAGTGTGGCTGCATAACAAATCACCGTAAAATTTAGAGGAATAAAACATTTATTATACTCTGTAATTCTGTGGGTAATGAATTTGGAATGGGCACAGCATGAATGGCTTGTCCTGCTCCACAATGCCTGGTCATCAGGTGGAAGACAGGAAGGCTATGCACTAGAATCATCTGAAGGTTCACTCACTCACTCGATCAGCAGCTGCTTCTAGGTGCCAGATGGAGTCATAGTTCCTTTCCACATGGGCTTCTCATGTGGTCTCTCTGCATGGACTAGTTTGGACTAGTTTGCCACCATGCTGCCAGTTAGTCCAGCGGTAAGTGTGCCCTAAAGGGTTAGTTCCAAGGGTGAGTGCCCTAAAGGGGAGCCAGTGGGGCACTGTGTGCTTTGCATGGCCTAACTTCAGAAGCCACACAGCATCACTTCTGCTGTCCTCGAAAATTGGTAGGGGTAGTCTCAAACTCACCCAGGTTCAGTGGAAGTAATAAAGGTTCCACATTTCAGTGGCACGAGCGTCAACCACATTGGAAGGGGAGCATGTAGATGGGATATACAGATTGGAGCAGCCATCTTTGCAAAAATACAATCTGCCAAAGATTTAGTGACTATCAGGAGCATAAACTATTAGATTTTCAGTCTTTTGCCTGAGAAGTAGAGAGGAGATAAACACCTCTGACAGACTTGGTGAGGCAAGAACTTTTACATTGATTTTAGAAATATCCTTTTTAAAAATTTGTTTTAATTTTTGTATCCCTCTTCTGCAGACCATGAAAATGCTGCTTTGGAAAGGGTCTGTCTGTATCTCAGGTTCACTGTTTCATTAGGACAGCATTTGTACAGAGTGTTGCTGTGTGACAAGCTTCTCACAAGGGCACAAGGAAGTGACATATTGTGGAGATGCAAACAATTACTGAAAGCCCTCGAGAGTGTGCAGTTATCACCCACAGGAGAGCAGAGAGAAGCTCTCCTATAGAGCCGACCCCGTCCCTGATCAAATACTAGTGAATTCCCCTACCATATCCTTTGCTTAACATCTACCAATTTCCCTCAAGGCATGTGAAGAGAGAATTAGACTAAATCATACCCTTTATCCCTGTAGATTGAGATCTAGGGAAACAAGCTTGTCTTTCCCCACATACAAAGTCATTGCCCTGGACCCATTTTTAGAAGTGATGGGTGGTTTGGTCTCTGTTAGATGACAAACTGAGAAGATTCGGAATTTCTAGATAAAGACTGAGAGAAAAATGATTGACATTATTGGTGTTATAAAGGTTCAGAACAAAGTGAACACAAATATGTGAATAAAATTTGAGGAGTTATTAATATTTGACATGATTTCCAATTCCCAAGCAGAGAATATGCTATGAATGGAAGCATCAGGATGCTGTTTCTGGCTTTGCCCATAACAGTCCCATCAGAGGAAATTCTAGGCTCCCTACCAACCCTCTTGAACAAGATGACACTAAGCAGGAAGAAAGCTTTTTAAAAATAAAAAGTGCCTAGATCATAAAATATTAATGTTGATCTCAATGCTTAATGCAGTTTGAATAAACCAGAGTTTTGCAGTTTTCAAAGTATCATACAGCTAAGGCAGAGCTTTATTGGTTGATTTTTATCAGCCTCTGAATATTGGAACCTTAGAATGTGGGACTATCAAGTTTCTACAAGTGTTGGGATTTGGCTGTTTGAGTGGCTGCAGGGGCAGAGGCATCCAAGGTCAAGATGGGTGTTATGAGAGCATTGTAGGGTCCAGGCTGACGTGATAAAGGCTGGGAAGTATTTGGGGGTCAGGGGAAAGTGAGAGAACCAAGGATGGAGAAGTTAGTTTTCCTAGGAATGGGTCACCTCATGGAGGCACTGTTGAAAAGATCTGGAAGGAAAGTAGCAGTGGGAGGTTGGGTTAGGGATGAAGAAGTCCAGACCAGTTACAGGATAAGTTTAGAAAAAAAAAAAAAAGAAAGAAAGAAAAGAAAAAGAAAAAAGAAAAAGATAACGTGGGTCAAAGGTGGAGAACTTACATTTTGGTTGCTGGGAGATAATGTGAATTTTGTGTAACTCAAACTCTCAAACAGAACAATAATTTATGTAGTAAGGTAAGTCTCTGGCTTATGTGGTAGAGGCTTTTAGTTCTTACTCTATCCTGTTCACTTCTCATCTCAGCTCAGTGGAGGTTACTCTTGCCCTTCCATCTTTTGTTTGGATGGAGTCATGTAACTAGTCTGGCCCCTGGGTTGTGGGCAAAACTGATGTGTGAACCAAAGTATGTAATTATTGGTGTTATGACCCACCACTCCTTTTCCTCTGCTATCAGAAGCTGAGATATTCTAGATGACAGAGACTCCAATATTCTGGGTGCTAGAGTGAGGACAACGTGGAGTAGAGAGTCCCCACCCATAGACCCGCTGATGTGAGATACACATCAGCAAGAAATAACATATTGTGTTGAGCTACTGAGATTTTGACATAGTTTATGATCTCAGCATAACTTATTCTGAAAGACACAATTCAGATGTGCATGTATTATCTATTATTTTCTATAATTTATTTCACTTGACCAACAAGTCTGCATCTCATTAGAGGCTGGCCAGGGAACTTAAAATGTGCCAATTAATGGTAACAGTCTCATTTTATATGCATATTCAAGCTCTTAGAGCTTCTTCCCTGGATAATACAGTATCTCGGCATAGAGGGCAGCTCATTTATCCTTGTGACAGAGGGGAGAAGAGGGCTTTATGCTCTTGCTGTTCCCTGGATACCCTACTGGCTTCAACTGCAGAAGCTGATGGCTAGGACTGCTGCTGATTCAGTTCTATTTAGGTTCTCCTTGGCCTTGCTAGGAGAACAGGCCCTCTCCTAGGTCCTCAGCTCTCAAGTCTCAGCTAAGCCTTATCCAGTATCTTTGCCCAGGATGTCCACTCCATGGCCCATGTCCATCCAATGGAGTTACTTTTCCATGGCCTGGTAATCTTTACTCTCAGCTACAATTTTTGTGCCCCTCATTGGCCTGTGGGCTTGTCTGAATCCTGTTTTTGTTACCTTCTCTCTATCTTGTATTTCTATCCTTTCATCATCCACTCCTAGTACCTGAGCTAAGGAGCAGAGGGATGGGAGCACTGGCCCCTTATGAGATTAAGCAAACCCTTCCTCCTGCAATCTTTTCTTCTCAATCTTTTTTCCCCTCCAGATGGGGTATGACCTGCCCTGTCTGTTGGGGATGCCCCCTAAGGCATTCCCTTCTTCCTGTTCATCTGCAGACATCTTTGTTCTAGTTGGCTCTGCCTCCTTTCCCAAGGCATTAAGCCTCATGGCTTAGTCTTAATAGTGAATATGATTAATGAGGACATTTTTTTTGAAACTTTGGGTTAACTTTTAAAGATAATTACATTCGCATTTATAAAGTACTTTCTCCATGGAAATTCTGCCTACTAACCTGACATTATTGGCATTTGCTGCTCACTTGGCAGTGAATCTCGTGGCCTCCAGTATGTGGTCAGCCTGTTGAGGAGTGTGGACTCACCTGGGGTAGATGCTCATGGTTCAAGTTGGTGAGTCAACTAGGAGAGCTTTTGGATCATTATATATGAAATATTTGTCTAGTGAAATAAGTCAAGAGTTTAGCCTCAAATTCCCATGGGAATCCTATGGGAAATACAATCCTTTCTCTTAGGTCTGCCTTGTTTTCCTGAACACCGTAGCCCAGTTTCCTCTAGGGGCTCATTCACAGAAAGTCATGGCTGATGCCAAGACTAGCAAGGATCAAATGAATAAATACAAAGACGTACAATTTTTTAAACTTTCTTTTGGTCACAGCTTTGTTCTGTACATTGAGGCTTTGAGTGGATTTTGTCTTAAGACAAATTCTCCTTTTTGTATAGGGCACATTGTCTAATTCTGTCCCTCTCTAATGGGGTATGTACATAAATATGAGGTCCATGGATCATTTTAAGTCAAACCCCTGGGAGTCTTCCCGTTTTTAAGCCTTGAGGATGGTTTGACCTGGAGACCGTTAGTTGCTTTTCATGGAAAATAATAATTACTCAAGAGCTTTTAAATTCTGTTTTTAGTTTGCTGCTGAATTTTTTTAGCCATGTATGATCTTGTATTTGTTGAACCCAAGATACTCTTTCAAGTCCCCACCAAACAATCAAATTATATTTCAGAAATATGCCATCTGTCTTTGTCACTCTCAGATGCTAAAAGCTTGTGTTAGATGAGAGCTGCTACATTTTTCTCTGGTGGCAGGGACGATACAGAGAAAACTATTCTTCCCTCTTTAGTTAACACAGTGATGGTGGGTGCATGTTTGCGAGAAGAGGCATGGCATTTTTAACATAAGGTAAATTCCTAACAGCTGTCTTGAAATGAATCTCTTGATTTATTTATTTATATTGAACAACTTTGTCTATTTCTCGGGTTTACTTCTTACCCAAGCTACTTTTATGACTACTAGTTCCTGCAGAACTAAATCTGCTTCATGCAGGTGCAGTTAGACTGAGACTTGCAATGCACTCATGCCATGGCCATGTACCTCTAGTTTCATGCCTTATGGCTTGCTGGTGCCACAGACATGGAATTCTGCTCCATACTTACAGATATTCAAATTTCTAAAACTTCAGAGGAGTAAACCCTGGAGTGGGAGAAAGGAGGAGACAGATAAATGCTTCCCTCTTTTGTCCCCAGGATGGACACTTCTGAGATGGAGGTCATAAGACTCTGGCACATCCTGGTAGACCAAGCACTGGCTGCTCACAGTGGTGGCCAACTCAGTAACACATCATAACACAGGGATGTGTT